CCACACCCACATCCACACCCACACCCACAACCACAGCCACACCCACAACCACACCCACCCACACCCACACTCACACCCACACCCACACCCACACCCACACAGCCACAATCACACCCACACCCCGCACTTACAGTCACAATCACACCCACACAGCCACAATCACACCCACACAGCCATAATCATACCCACACCCACCGACACCCCACATTCACCCACCCACCCACACCCCACATTCACCCACCCATACCCACACCCAGCAGGTATTTTGAATAGCATTACGAAAGCGTTTTCATCGAGTGAAAATTATGACTCATTCGTGTTGCAAGAGTTTGCCATACTTTTTTCTTTCTTCTATCTTCACCATTTTGCAGACAAATGTTGTTTATGTAATCACGTGGCTATTGTAATGTGTTTTTTTTATTTTCTACCCATCACATTATTTTATATTTACAGTTAGTATTTCAATAATGGCAGTGAACTATTTAAACGAAATTATATTAATATTTCTTGAGCGGAATGTAAACGAACTAAGCGACAGTGATTTGAGTACTGCTATTAGGAATAAAAGAAAGCCTTGTTCAGTGGAAGAAATACGTCATGATGTCCAATCATTGGGTTCATCACTTTTTCAATTTCGATATAATCAAGAAAATATCGGTTTTGTCCGAATTGAAACCAGAGTGAGCGAATTTTATCCTTTTTTTGTTTTTGTTGTGCTTTATTATATATTTTAGATCCAAATATGTCATAAGTTTCTTGCTGGCAAATGTAATTTCAAAACAAAAGTATGCAACCGACTTCATTTATGTCGTCGTTTTGATAGTTGTACAGAGAAAGATTGTCACTTTCCACATAACTTTACTCATGGTAGTAATCGATGTATTGTGGAGCAATCGAACTGTCAAAATGTTGATCCATCATTACTCGTTCGCCTTATTCGACTTAATGAACAATTTTCTAATCGTTTATCGAAGGTAAGAATTTTCTGTTGTTTACTGGAAAAGATCAACTTTTTCATGCAGAATTTTGCCGCTCCTTCTATTGTTTCACAATCAGTGGATACGACATCATTATCAGTACAGGTCAAACCTGTTCAACCAGTTTTTGAGCGAAGCAAACCTACTCACTCAAGATGTAGAACTCGAGGCAATGCGTCGAGAAGAGCTGCTGATGAGCATAATACTGCTCCATTGGTTTCCATGTCGTCAGTACCAGACACAGATTGTCAAATCAATATCAGTTTCCTATCAGCATCTATTGCTCACTATATTACCATCGAGGATATTGTAGAATTCTTAAGACTACAAGGTTTACCTATTCTTACAATGTGTAAAACGAAGGAAAAAGAATATTTTAATCAATGGACACTTCAGTTTCAAGATAAAAACAGTAAATTATTAGTAATCTGCTCATGTAAAATTTTGTTTTATAGTTGTAGACAATCTTCTGGCAATACCTGGTATTTTATATCATGGTATTCCTTTGAAATTTAAAAGATCTAGCTCAGTGATTGATCAAAAAGGTTTTGCAGTCAAATCAACAATCGATTCAAAACGAGGTCTAATAACAATCGAGGAATTTTCAAATTATATTGATGTTTTAATCAATCACGGCTCATTCAAATTAATCGATTTGTCATCACCACTGGAACAGATTCTACTGATTCAATGTGATAATAACATTGGTATGAATTCTCTTTAAGCATTTTATGTTTCGATTTGAACACTAATATATGCTTTCTAGATTTCAACCAACTTAGTTGTGTGCAAAAGTCAAGACGACAATTACAAGGAAAAGATATCTCATTGATACAAGTATATGAATTAGAAACTGCCGTTATTGAGTCTATTCACAATCGAATGTCCATTGAAATTGTTAAAGATATTATTGAGCCTGTCCTTCAGAGTGTTTTTACATTTACTATTTTATCTAGTCACACAGCATTTATCGAATTTATCAATGCTGATAGTTTAATACAATGGCTATCGCTGAGCGATGAAGCACAACAAAAATGTGGTATTAGTATCAAACTCCATGTTAAATTTGTAGATGGAGACTATTTTGCCGATGAAAGTTATATCACTCTTTATTCCTCGAATGTTCTACTATCGCTGAAATCAATTGAAAGTTACACATTTTCGCACGTGACAGTGAATTTCAGTTCAAGTTGGGCTATGGTTGCCAATCATCCAACGTTTAGTATTGAATACAAGAATTATATAAGTAGGGTAATCGATAAAGGTCTTCATACCGAGATGAATGCATACGAGTCCGCTCTAATGAGCAAAAGAATGCCGAAATCGGATGATATTTTGATACATCATCATGAACTGAAGATTCTGCTGATATCTCCAGTGATTTATGATTAGTGTGCTGCTCCTGATAGTAGGATACAATCAGAAACTATCGAAGAAAACTTAAGAAATTTCGGTTTGCAAAACTATCTTTCGGATCAATGATTGTGACTCCCAATTTAGTGAATTTCTAGCTAGAACTTGTGAGAAAAATGTCGCTTGCAACCTGAAAACAACAGAAGGTTTGAAAAATGAATATGGTGACTATATTTAGCAGTGTGTTCTGTCTGCTTATGCTTGGCTCTAAGCGAAACTACATAAAATTTTGGTCGCCAATACAGGCATTAGATTTCTGCCATTCCTCTGAGTTTTCTAACTGAAATCACTTGAACAATCTTCAGCTACACTTCAACTTCTATCGATTTTCTAAATTTTCCAGTAGAATGCGATGATTTTGCCGCTTTATTCAAACAAGTTCTTGTATAACCCATTTGTTTTCAAAAGTTAGAACCATCGATATGGATATGCGTTCATCAGATTTTCGACGTTAAGCATTAGTTTGACGTGAATATTGTACCAGCTAGAGATCGAAGTTTGGACTTTGACACCAACAGTTTAATGAAACATACATTTGATTGGTAGTTACGCGAACTTCATGAGATCATGTCTCATAGTGACCATACAAATCAGAAGTTTTGACATCGAACTTGAACACAAATAACTGGAGATCTTCTCCATGATTTTCTGTACCTATAAACTATACTCTTTACATAATATTTGTTCAAATTTTCTTCAAGATCAAAGTAAATATTTGACACATTCTATGAAATACTGAAGTTATGATAAAACAGTGCAATTATTGTTTTTTCGTGTGCTTGTTTATAATACAAGATTTATTTTTGTGAATCGGGAACGAAACATGTACTCTACAGTCGACTTCATTCTAGTGAACTTCTATTTTTTCGGCTTTTGAAGCATTCACATTTGATTGGTAGACTAATGTGCACTTTCTGTGTGTTAGAAAGATAAATGTAGGCTCATGTTCGAAGATTCTTGGTAAATTTACAATAGGCCACATTATAGATTCATTTTTGTCTTATTTTGCATTATTCGGTGCTCATTGTAGGATCACAACTTGGAATTAATATTCAAATTTATGATAATCATATTGAAACGTATTGTAATACTATTTCCAATACATTGACTGAAGAAAATACGACTGCTCTTCTGTGCCACGGAACTGAAAACTTTATGCGCAAATTTGCTTTTCGCTCCATTGTTTTGCAAGATTTAGTGGAACAACTTGATATTCTTCATGCACATTCAACAACTGTTGCCTTCTGTTGTATCAAAGACAATAATTATATGTTGGCGACGAATCGGTCAAATATAGAATGTATTATGCAGAAACTCTCACAAAAGAAAGCAATTGATAAAAAACCAATAAATAGTTCACCTTCAAAGACATTCAATAATCCCGAAACGACCAGCAATGTAGATCAAATGTAACTATTGCAACAGTTGTCATCTTTATTTATTTTCATTCCCCTTCTTTTTAGAGAATCATCAATATGTAGGATTCCACCACCATTGTTCAATACCATATCTACTGATGACAAGTTCGTATATATGTATTGCTTTCTTTAAACTCAATCTATTTCCTATAGGCCTATCGAAACCGACATGATTATTAACATGACCTCAGCATTACCATTGAATACTTCAGCACAAATAGCTTTATTTACTGATAAGATATTTCTATTCTGTGCTCAAACTTATTTTAATGAGAATTATCAAGTTCAACTTAATGTTGCGCGCACGGCTGACATCAATACTCAATATATGGTAGAGTTAGTCGGTCCACAGAGTTCTATCGATAAAGCACTCAAAGAGTTGCTAACTTTAATTTCATTATGTCGTACAAAAATATTCAACGAGATGACAGGTTTGAAATTCTTTGAGTTATCCTATGAAATAATTTTATTAGTTTAGATAGTGGTTGGACAAAGATTAGCGATGCAGCTCGTGTTATTCAACACCATTTAAATATAAATAACAACCGATGTGTCTGTCGGCAACAGATATCTCCAACTTCAATACAGGTGCATTATATCGACAAGAAACACCATCAGTTAGGTGTCGATGAACAAGTCATTGAAACATGGTGTCGAAAGAAATTGATTCTAGCTACATGTACATCAAATATAGTTGAACCAGAATGGAAGATACTTAAAACTAAAATTTTTCAACGTTCCGATTATGGAATAGATATTTGTCTTTTTGATGAACAACAAACAATAAGTTTCTTCGGTTTACCAGAAGTCGTGAATCATGTTCAACAATTATTTGAAGATAAAAAAATAAAAAATGTTCCATCTGTTGTCAAAAATGAGGCGAACAAACTAGAAGTGTTACCGATTCCAAAACCACCGACTTTAAAAATTGACAATTCTCCACAAATCAGCAAGACTAATATACATCAGGAATGTAATCCATTAAATGCACAGAAAGTTGAAAAATTCTCGATCACATTCGATGTCGATGAACCCGGTTTCGAAATCTTTGTCAATGAACAATTCAACCAATTATTGACTGTGGTTAAATCGAAATGTCAGCTTGAAAAGCAAATCCTTCATCATCAAATTCAGATTCAAGTACCTAAAGCAAACGTTCATTTCAACGATCCTACATTACAAACGCAGCCGCAAGAAAATAATTCTGAACCCACAAATAATTCGAGCCAAGCTTCTATTAACCAAAAGTCAAATTGGATTCTAGGATTGCTTGGCTTCAGAAAATCTAACCAACAATCTCCTTCGCCTGTACAACAACAAAAATCAACATCACAAGTACAAATAACATCGAATGTGATGAATCTAGCAAGTGTTGCAATAGGCAATTCAAAGATCATTGTTTGCACCGGAGATTTAACAAAACAAGCGGTTAGTTGTTTGTCTGTGGGTTGAAAGTTTTCAACTTATCCTGTCGGACCAAAAACATTTCAGCTAGTTTCTTTTCTGATAAGCGGATAGATACTATCAAATACCATTGATAAGAGTGATGCGAGACGAAAATAACTTTATAGAAGCTCCAGGCTTCAAACAAAAAATCCGCTTTTATATCATAAATACAGTGTCCCAAAAGTCATGATCACTTAAGAATTGCGTATAACTTCGTTATTAATCGAGCTTAATCTAATAATTTCTTTTTCATTTGAAAGAAAAGAGCATAAAATGTTTTTTGTCTAATACGAAGTTGATAAATGCTTTTGAAAGGCTATCACTTCTAGTCGCACTGTAAAAGGTTAGCATTTTTCCAATGTCAAAAAAGAACCAAACTTTCACAACACTTTGATGTCGCATACATCACGGCCTGAGAAAAAGATAAAATCTTGATCTTTTTTTTCAGAAGATGCGCCGTGATAAGCGCTAGAGAACCTGCATAAACCAATCTTATTCAATTGCTCATGTGACTTTTCCAATGCTCAAAATGAGAAGCTATATGATAGTGCTACTTCCCGCCGCATTGAGCAGAATAAAAAGGTTTCAAAGACTTTTTGTTTTGTAATAGAGGCTTGTTTATACACCTTTTGTAAAACTTTGGACGACGCATTTTTTTTTGCAAAAAAAAGAGTAGTGTCACATATCCAAGATTTTGGAAATGCCACCACATCTCCCGTGGGAGATGCCGCGTCTCCAGCAGGAGACGCGACACCCACACTTGAGAGATGTGGTCATTCACCACTAGAGATGTAAGATCTCCTTTAGAAATGCGCATCCCCCACACCCACATCTCTCGCGCAAGATGCGGCATCTCCCGCGGGAGACGTGGTGGCATCTCCAAAATCTTGGATATGTGACACTGCTGAAAAAAAAAGAATCAAAATTTTGCCATTTTCTCATGTCGAGAAAAATGCTAAACAAAAACTCTTCGAAACATTTTTATTATGCTCATTGCAATGAAAAGTAGCACTATCATATAGCTTCTCGTTTTGAGCATGGAAAAGGTCACCTGAGAAATTTAATAGGATTAGTTTATACAGTTTCTCTAGGGCTCTTCATGGCACATCTTTCGAAAAAGAATTCAAGGTTTCATCATTTTCTCAGATCGAACTATATGCGAAAGAAAAATGTTGCAAGTATTTGGCGAACACGGTACTACGTTTTTGCTATATGTATTTCAATATCTATTTTGACTATCGGCTTTAAATCATTAACATCATTCACTATTGCTTTATTAGCGTTCGTCTTGATATAGTCTGAAAAAAAATGCAACGATGTCAAGTATTATATCAGTGTGAACCACGAAATCGTTCCGTATCCTCATTTCACCGATTATCAAAGTTTGCGCTGTGAAAAAGAACCATCTACTTTCGAGAAATGTATCAGTTAGTCGATCTTTTCAAAACAAATGTCAAACAAATGGTTATTGAGAAATGATGAGAGATGTTAATGATTTAAAGTCGATAATAATGATAGAAATTGAAATAAAGATACGAAAAATGTTTTATACTGTTTTTTTAGACATGCAAAAATGCTAACTTTTTATAGTACAACCGGAAGTGATAGCCTTTCAAAGTATTTGTCAACTTCGTATTAGACAGAAAAAAACTTTATAATCTCCTCTTCCAAATAAAAATAAAAATAAAAAATATTAGATTAAGCTCGATTAAGAACGGAGTTGCACGCGATTCTTAAGTGATCATGACTTTTGGAACATCCTGTAGAATATGATGGACTACATTGAATGATGCTTAAACGAACTTTCTAGCTGTGAAAATTTCCAAATTAATCGGAAAAAAAGATGTCAAAAACATAACAGCGTTATGTTTGCATAAGTCAAATTATTAAATGAATTATGCAATTAAAAGCCACCAGATCTCATTCTATCGATTCAATTATAAAGCAAACTAATTCTATTTTTTTTAAAGAGAACTGTATCTAACTATATTTGAGTACTGATTAATAGAATAGTTAATGTTGTTTTTTTAAAATAATTTTACAATAGGTCGATATGATCGTTGTTTGTTCAACATCATCAATTCTATGTAACGCAATCATTTCTGCTGCTGGATCTCAAGTAAAACATATATTTGACCAACAATCCTCCAATGGTACGCTGACGTTTGAAACGTCAGGCGGTAATTTATCTTGTATGCAAATTGCTTTTCGTCCATGGACCTGTGACAAATATCAACCTCAAAATTTAAAACAATCTATTGATACTTTTATTTCATCCGTGATTACTTATGCACTTCGTCATAATATTACAACACTTGGTTAGTATATCCTATATTCAAATAAAAATTCTACAATCAATTTTAGCCTTTCCAAGTATTGGTTGTGGACAACGCGGTTATGATCCGAAATTGATTGCTGAATACATGATTGATGAGACTTATCGACAATTAAAAAGTTCAGTTCATCCGAAATTGATCATTTCATTTGTTTTACTACCCGGACAACAAAGTATTTATGATGCATTTAGTGATCGACTTAATGCAATAAAAATCATTGAAGATAAACCGACCAGTATTTCTTTTGATAAACAAAGTATGTAAATAAAGAGGAAAATCAATCAAATATACTTTCTGATTTTTTTACAGCGGTAAAAATAAAATTAATTGGTTTAAATAAGAATGAATTAATCGAGTGTCAAAATAAAATAAAACAATTGGCTCGATCATATTCACTTAAACTTCATCTTACTGATAAGATTGACATGGCTGATTGGTCACAAGATATCATTCAGAAATACTATAACTATTGTCTACAAAAGCGGGTTATACCAACAATTGATATTCAAAATTGCATTCTGGATTTGATAGGTCCTAAAGATGCGGTGCGTGAATTTTGTAACATGAACTTAACATTGTTTGTCTAATGTTGTTCAGAGTAACTTTACTGTAGCTCTAGCTGAAAGATTAGCTGTCTTAGGTTTCATATAATATGGATACACGGTTCGCTTGGTCATTCTCAGGCAAATATTAGAAATGAAAAGGTATTAATGTATCAAAGAATAGAACTTGGAATTAATCTCCATGGATTGGTTCAATTATCTTGAGTTATTTTGATGTAAAGTTCTTAATCATCTATACATTCTCGTTCTCTTTAAAAGCATGAATCTAGTCATTCATTGTAATCAAATTTTGATTATTTGTTACAAAATATTTTAAAATAACTAATTATCTCGTACTTAATACCATTTTTTTACAATTTAGGTGTCCGATACCGAAAAGTATTTTTTTCAATTAACTGCTGAAATACTACGAAATGCTCGTATTCAAATTATATCCCATGGATTTGTATGGTCAGTTGAAATATTATCCGGTACATGGGAGCAATATTCATACAAAATTAACCAACAAATTGAAGATGCTCACATGAAAAAATTGTCACATGTACGTGATTTTGCTTTTTTTATTTATTTATTCGTGTGAATTCAATATGCTTTAGATTGAATTCTTAAACGAAAAGTCAGAACGATGTCGAGTAGTTTTCTCATCTATGGAAGAACACTATGGAACACGTAAACGAAAAGTGTGTCGTCAACGTATAGATTCATCATTACCTAATGTGGAAAAATCTTCTTTTCTTTCTTATCTAATTTTATAAATCTGTTCTTTCTTAGTATTGGGATTTGTCCAGTGTTAATTTCAAACGAATAGCTCTCTCGAATTCTTCGAAAGAATACAAAGATGTTCTGGATAGATTTGAAAGTACAATGAAAGGTTCTTATCTGACAATCGTCAAAATTGAACGCATTCAAAATGAACGTTGGTACAAACAGGTATATTCAAATTTCTCATCTAGCTAAAATAAAATCTCTTTATTTGAACTAACTTTATAGTATGCTGCCCATCGTGATGAATTCATACAGAAATATACCAGCTCTAGTGAAAAATTGCTTTTCCATGGATGCAGGAGTACATCAGCGTATAAAATTGTACAAGAATGCTTTAATCGAGCATTTGCTGGTGTTAATGGTAAGACTAACGTTTTTTGAAAATCGAAGCATCACTAAAAATATGCTCATCATATTCTTGTAGGAGTTTCGTATGGCCAAGGTGTGTATTTTCATGAGCATGCGAAATATAGTCATGGTTATACTGATGGCTCAAGTGAACGAACTATGTTCTTAGCTCGTGTTCTAATTGGTAGAACATGTATTGGTAATTCATCGATGAAAGTACCACCTGAAGGATTTGATACAACTACAAATGGTGGACATATATTTGTGATTTACCATGATGCTGGTGCATATGGTGAATACCTCATAACGTACAGATGAAATCTGCTCAGTTCAAGGCAGTGACGAAAGAGACTTTGATGCACTAATCTTATTTTGTAGTTTTTAAATATAAATTCCGTCATTTTTTGATCAAGAAATATCTTTTTGGCTTGGCTATAATAAAAGACTGAAAAATTGTAAGACAGAAATAAAAATGCATAAAACTTTTACTTAACATAGTTCAGTTATGCATGAATATCATGACTGAATAGTTACATTATTCGAAGTATAATTACAAGGTACTGCGTTCAAACCGCAATACGACTAGTCATGGAATGACTGTGAACAAACCATGCATAGCTGTTTCTCTTGAATCATTCGTCTATCATAGCATGCTGTACACCCATTGAGTGGAAAAACATTTCATGAACCTCATTATTTAAAAAAAAATCAAAATCTTTGGATTTCTTTTCAACTATTTTTATTCCATTACTTTCATTTTTTTTGTCAAACTCAAAGTCATTCAATTAGTTTCATTCTACCTTATTTTTCAGTCATGAATCTTTTGTGAAGTTCTAGATGAGTTAGTTTCCCATACTTTTGTTGATTGAAATTTTTTTCCATCGATCACTTCCTTATAATACAATAATGAAACACCATTTTGCTTTAAAAACATGGTGAAAAATGATGAATTTAAGTATATCTGTATATTTGTCCTTACACGTACGTGCTCTAAAAAACAAAATGTGCAAAAGCAAAAAGAATGTCGCATGCTGTTTCGTTTTGCAGGATAAATTGTTAAAAAATGTTATACTCTTTTTTAATAGTGAATCGACAAAGTCATTTCCATCCTGATACAGGTCCGTTGATTATCTAATATAGCTATTTTAAAGGACAAAAATGAATCCGAATGTATTCTATGGTCTATGTTTTTTTCTTGCTAATCATGTCTAAAGATGTATCGGTTCGAATTCGCTGGATCACCGGTAAAAATGGACTCAGATAAACAAATATTATTTTCAATTGGTAATTTCGTAGTATTTAATTGTGTAAGCACTTAAGTTG